CATGACATTGTGCCACATCTTTTTGCAAAGCAATATAATTTTTCACATGTTACTACATTGCATGGTTATTACATAGCCACGATTCTAAATACGGATTCATATTTACAATACAGCAATGCACTTGTTAGCATTAGCAACTTATGGCCTTTGAAAAAGATGTGACTCATAATTTTTGTTTAATGAAATTTAAGGATTTTAGATTGTCTATTTATCATATTTTGGGTCCGTTATATTTATATTTATTTGAAATCAGTAAAATTCTTAAAATCTACAGATTCTTCGATTCTCTCACCCTATAAAAAAGTATGCTTGGTTTTATCCTGTTTTTGTCAGCAATATTTAAAAAATGCTCGGAAAGGGGTCGCTATAGGTATAAAAACTATATTAGTTTTATCCTGTTTTATCCCTATAGCGACTCCTTTCCGAACATTTTTTGAATATTGCTGACAAAAACAGGATAAACCAAATCTTTTTTTAACATTGTGGTGTGCACAATACTCTAGCCTTTTGATATTATAAATGCTAATTAAATACCTTTAAATACATCGATTGATAATCTTTATAAATTTGTATAATATTTGTAAACTATATATTTTAATTAATAAAAGATATTTATACTCATGCTAAATTAATAATGTTAATGTACTTTATTTTAACAATATACTTTCAGAATAAATAAAGAGTTAGTGCACGTCGAAAGACTTTCTAAATAAATTGGATAAATTGGATAAATGGGAAATGTGGCAGCCCACGACGTAATACAAAAATATAAACTATCAAATAAAATATAACGGCTAAATAAATTGGAAAATATCCAGAAAATACAGTAAGACCAAATTGATATCTTATTGTGGGAGAACAACGTGAGGTTTGGTCCAATTTGATAATTTTTGATTAGTAATCAAAAGTCAACAAACCGTATTTATCGCCTTAAGTTGTATCAGACCTCACATTGCTCTCACAATTATTATTAATAAACAATATAAATTAAGGTAAAAAATAATTTTGTAAGAATTTATTTAGTATTCACAGGAAAGTGAAATTCACCATTATATGTTTTATTATTATTATATGAGTGTCGCTAATACACATCTATATATTCTTATCTATAAAAAATTTTGCCACAAATTTTGAAGCTAAAAGAAACTTTGGATTAGGGTTAAGCTTAAATTGATGTAGAGATTAGGGTTTTTTAGAGTGTTGAATATTTTACTTAGTATACGTACCAAATATTAGTTATTAATACTATTTTTAAAAGGCAACATAGCCAGTAAATTCCACCTCTGGTAAGTGTTAAATTATCCTTTAAAACTAATTTATAATTTCTTGGTGTACTCTTTAAATATTAATTTAAAAATATTGTTCGTAATATGGGCGCTTTTTAATAGAAAAGGGGAAAAAATCTCCCACCTTTCTATTGAAAAGCCCCCATATATAGTTGAAAATATATAAAATTTTCGAAAAGCATAGGTACGAGTGGTCATGTGATTGGACTAATGCCGGCAAGCCAAAGTTGCCGGAAATAAATTCAATTAAAGGACTTTAAGTCCGCAGATACATTGTGATAGGGATAGGAATCGGCTATATGATTTAGTCGACTAAATCGACTAAACATAGTAATTTACATATAAATTTTTTATTCGACTAAGTCGATTCCTATCCCTACATTGTGAGTAATTTGAGCTGCGTAATTTGAGCTGAGTGATTTGAGCTGAGTAATTTGAACTGAAACGATGATATGCTCCCGGAAAAATTAGCAAGTGAGATTGCGCCGGGTATCATCGTAACAGTAGAATGAGTGAGAAGCAGCATCAGCCGGTGGTTTCCCGCCTGCTCGAAAGGCCGGCTGTTAAATAGGAAAATGGCAGAATCAGGAGACTGTTCCAATGATTAGATATCCTGATCTGTCATTGGCCTATGTGTTGATTGGAGTGTTGTATGGCGAGACGTCGTTGCTTGACTCGCTTTGGTATACGTTTGTGTTGTTATTACTTGACCGGACCTTGGTTGGTTGGCTAGTTATTGCTCAGTAGGGTCGTTCGTGTATAGTTGTTTGGCATCTTGTTGAAGTATATGAATGCTTATGTTTATTTATTTTGGACTGTTTCATATTTGTTCGTGTTTGCTTGGGGTTAAAATTGGTTTTAGTTTCTTGTCATTCTGGTGCAAAGTATTCCCTTATTACGGTGTTAGCATGGTGTAATTGGGTGCTCGAAGGTGCCAATAGTGTTTTAATGTGAGGGCAACTCAATTACAGTATGCTTGATCAATGTTGTTGCTATTGTGGCTAGACGGGCTCGGATGTACTTGTGGGGTTCTAGGTTCTGTATGCTGATTCCTTTGAACTGGCATACTTTGCAGGCTTGGTTGTTTCTCGTGGGTAGCAATTATATGAGCTGCTGGCAAGTGATGTTTGGTTGCCAAAACCCATCGGCGTTAATTGTTGTCTGCTATACTAATAATAAGGGCTGATGTTCATCTGTTCTGGTCACTCCTTCCTTTTTTTTTTTTTTTTTTTTTTTTGACTTGTGTTGCTCGTATGATGATGGATTGTGGCTATTTCTTTTTTTTAATAATAGACCTGGAGGCAATACTTTATTTCTGTCTTCTTGTATTGCAGTCCGAGGCAGTCCCTTATGATGTTGCTTTGATTGGCAGATTTGTGAACATGGTTTTGTTGGTAGTTTCCAGCAGCCGCCCGTTCGTTCCAGCTGGGTAGTTCATTGTGTGGTGCTTGAGCTGATGAGTGTGATAAAGAGTGGGACGATTTTCATGCGCGTGGGTAATAAGTTTGACAAGGTATTCCTTCAGGATAGGTCATATTTGGCATTGGGGATAGCGTTGTTGTTCGCTTTTGCCGTAGTTTATAGCTATTTTTAGCCGAATATTGAAGCAGCCATTGGTCTGTTGGTTGTATGCGAGTTGTTCGTGTATATTCGTTAGTTTGTTCCTTTACTGTTTCTTGTGTAAAGGTGCTGGATCGATTAGCTTGCTTGGCAAGCTTTGCTGTATAACTGTGGATATTCTGAATCATTTCTAATTGCTACTATGTCATCATGAAGTCTTATAAGTCCTTCTGATCTAGAGTCATTCGCTGAGCTCTAGGATATCCAAGATCCAAAGCAGCTAAGCATAATGTTTGTAGAGTGCAATAGCTAAGTATTTGCTTGTGTCAAGATTGTCGCCACTATAGTTCACATGTCACATGATAATATAGTGTTTGCAGTGAAACGCCTGCTAGTGCCTACTCTTCCTAATTCTTTAAGTATTTTGCAATATTGTTTATACCAGGTGTGTTGTTTTTTTTTTTTTTTAATTTATTTGTTTATTTTTTAAAAGAAGTTAGTATAGCAATTGCGTAGGATGGATCTATTTGATGTAGTGTTTTTGCCGAGTGCATTCACAACACTTTCTTTTCTTTTCCAAGTTTATTATGTTGAGGACTTGAATATTCCATGATATTATTTCTACGAGAGGCATAGAGTTCACTAGTGTTTCCTTTCTTTCTTTTAGCTCAAGATTATGATCATAAGGATCACAGGAGTTAACATTGCAATTCTGTAAAGCGTATTTGACTATGCAAGAAATGTCTGCTTGTGTAGTGCTTTGGTAACTCGTGTCTGCTAATATTGATTTTTTTTTTTTCGTTCTGGTTTCGTGCACTGCATTGTGTGGCTACTTATAATGTAATAAGAAGCAATATAATGTTAAATATATATATATATATTAATTGAGTCTTATTGTGCATAAAATATATTCATGGGACTTAGTTATCATAGATTAGAGCCTTATATAAGTGTGTGTATCGTGCGTAGCACTGCGATATTTGGATGATGAGGTGTGTGAAAAGATCCTGTATGCATCTCTAATCAGGGCACAAAATTTCCGGGTGATGTAACCTGCTTTTTTTTTCGGTAAACAAAATTTAGAAACTCCTGCAATATATTTAATATTATAAAATTTCCGGCCGCTTTAAAACTACGCCGGAAGTCAACTTAACTAAACGGACCTCCGGTATTTTACAATAGAATTTTGTGC